TTATTCCTGGGCTGCATATTCATGTGTGTGTCTTCAGGGACTAGTTATTACTTATCATAGTGCAGCAAACAGCAGACACCCTACACAGCATCGTAGCAGAACAAAGACCAAGACCCCCTCTCTTCAAGCATGCTGAAGCACAAACGCTTATGTAATGTTGTATAAAGAGCATACATGTCAGACTACCTCTAATCATGTCTTACATGGTGTGTGTGTACTGTGTGTGCATTCGATGTTAACACTATACAACAAAGTTAGTTATCACCGTAATAAACCGTATTTAATTTCATCATACTGTACAATACTTAATTTTACATTCTGTTCTTGTATATATCATATTCATATTCATACGTGTAGACTTCTTGCACTATTTTGTATTTGTACTTTTGTATTTTATTATGTGAGTGCATGTATAGGGAAATGAGTATGAGAACGAATTAAAATAGGGTGGGAAACAACGAGAAGAACTAAATGCAAGAAGAGTGTTTTAACATTTGATTTAAATACACTAAGAGAAAAACAAGTGGTGTCTGTTGAAGTATGGAGGCTCGTATAGAGAGGACAATACGAGCGAGTAAAGACAGAGAGAGGGGAAAGGCTTGTGAGCGAACACACCAGCCGGGGCTCTTGGTGCAATGCAGACGGCATTGCCATGGAAACGGATGGAGGGAAAGCGCAGACGAGGAGGAGGGGATTAAATGGGAAGGAAGAGATCACTGCTTCGCACCGTGTGGGGGGGGGGGGGGGAGATTTGATGAGAGGGGATGGGCTGGTTAGAAAATGAGTAACAAGTATGGATGGGAAGTTAGATGAATTAACCACTAGATGTGGATGTCCCACTCTTTAGAGTATTTAAAGAAGATTTACCATCATTATAAACCCATTCGACCGTCATACTAAGAGTGTACACAGCTAATTATGTTTGATTAACTATTTTAAATGATGTATACTTGAGTGTACACACTGTATACTTGACAGGAAAGAGTTCATGTTACTGTTGCTGTGAGGATGTCAGTTCACGTTTCAGACGACAGTTCAAAAGTTTCAGTAACATTTTGCCTCTAAAAATAAGATTTGTGAGAAGAAAAAAAAGTGATGGGTTATGAGCCCGTCGCCATGGCGCCATTTGTCTCAGGTGGCATTGTCTGGGTCCAGATCTGAGGGCGGGTGTTGCCATGGCAGCTGGAGAGCATGGAATTTGTCTGTCTGGGTGTGATGCTACACACACACACACACACACACACACACACACACACACACACACACACACACACCACACACACACACACACACACACACACACACACACACACACACACACTGTCTTGGAAATCTTCTTGACTGCAGGATTATTAATAGAAGGCAGCACCCCTCTCCTCTCTGCCACCCAAAGGACCCCAATCATTCTCATCGTTCTATTCACTTATTTCCCCTCAACACTTGTCCTCTCCCTTCTGTCTTCATCCCTCACTCCTCTTGTCAGATCTCACCCCCCCCCCCCCCAACCCTCCTCCAGTCTCATCAAGTGGCTTTGTTTGCAATCTGTGTATCCTCCGTAGTGATGGTGATGATGTGGGAACAGTGAGGATGCTTAATGAGCTTGGAGTTGCACAATGCTAATGAAGTGGGACGGCTGTACCTGGGTGTGAGCTTCACAGAAAGCAAGATGGAGAAAGTGCTTGTTTAAAGTCTCCTCCCCCCATTTAACTAACCTGGATCCTATAGAGGAGAGACATACAGTACGAGCTCCTACAGCAACAGCTAAATAATGAGCTGTAGGAACAAAGCACTCAAAATCTGTTGGTTTTCTCTTGCTTTGTTAACCGTTGTAAAGTTTATAGATGTTTTATCTTCATGGTCTACTGTATATTTTATATTTTAATACTATTTTGAGATATTTAATTTCTAGAATTGTTTAATTTCTACTCTTTAATTTCTACACATTGTCTTCCTTTATTATTTGCCCCTTTTGTTTGTTTGTTTGTTCACCATGTAAACCGGCCTTGGGTCCCTTGAAAGGCACTATACAAATTTCATCTATTATTATTACTTATGTGGGATGCCTTGTTTTGTTTTTTATGCTGCTGCAACGCGAACATTTCCAGATTTGGGATCAATAAAGTACCTCTTATGTTATCTTATTTTACCAGTGATTTACTTCCAGATTAAAAAACTAAAGGGGTAAAGTTAGAGATGTCTGTAAGAAGGTTTAAAGGTCCCATGTCATGGCCATTTCTACTGATCATAATTCCATTGTTGAGGTCTACTAAAATAAATGTATACTGTGCAATTTTCCAAACTCACATTGGTTTCACATACAGCATCTCTGTATAGTATGTGTATTCACTCTCTGTCCTAAACAGCTTGTTGGAGCTCCTGCTCCCCCCCCTCCCTGTGAACCCAGTGGCCGCAGCCTGGCTGGGAGTTTGTGTGTGTGCCCAGGCTGAGTTCCGCGGTGTCTCGCTGTCTCGCCGACCCCACACCAGTGAGCCAGCTCACAGTGTCCCGCTCCTCGCAGCAGCGAGCCTCGCAATGTCCCACCGAGTGTGTGTGTGTGAGGAAGTCCGAGGATTGGTCCAAACGTAACGGCTCTGCGGATTGGTCAATTTGGACCAATCTGCAGAGCCGTTACGTTATGTCACTATACCCGAAATACGTCACTATACCCATGAAGTAAACAATGGAAAAAGAGAAATCCCCAACGAGGCGTTCTGGGGCAGCACAGACAGGTATTTTCTGTGTTAGAGTTTGACTCGTTACAGGGGGTACTTTGAGGGTTTGTGACTCTGCAGACCGTTTACATGCATAAAAAGCTACATAACACACAAGGGGACGGGTAACAACCAGAAAAGCATGACATGGGACCTTTAAGACATTTTCAAGCGTTTACCCCCTACTGCAGGATTTTAAAAAGCAGCTTAGAAAGCCCCGGTCAAAGGGAAGTCTGGGAAATAAGTACATAAATGTGTAGAGGTCTTTTTAAAGCGACTGAGAGCAGCTCTGTCATCCTCCTGTCAGACTAAACTGTCCTCATGTAGCTCAGACATGTGTTGACACTGTGTGAGAGAGTGTAAACAGAGGTGTGATTGTACAGACACTACTTTCCTAGTGTCAGTGTGGGAATGTGTGCACACGTCTCTGTAGAGCTTTGTGTTAAACAGCTCTGGGAATTTGAAGTTTTTATATTGCTTTATTGTTTCCAGTTGTAGACCTCGGGGTGAATAAGTGTTTCTTTTTTTGTCTTTTACATCTCGTTCCTCTATTATTTGGAGTTTCCATTAATGGTGAGAAGCTGGTAGTAGAACAATTAGCATCTTCTTTTAGTGTTCACAAGCAGTGTGTGTTTACAGTGTGGGTTTTTATTTAATTAATTGTTTTAGATTCAGGTTTTAGAAGATTTTCTTGATCAATTCATTATTTTGTCTTCAGAAAATATTTCGAATTTTCGCAGGATCCAAGATGATGTCTCCTACTCCAATAGTTGTCACTTTTCCTTGCACCAGTTTGAGTCTTTGTGTGACTGTTTGAAGTGATGTGTTTGCCTGCGGACGCTGAGATGTTGCAGTGAGGATAGCAGGACAAAAAACGGGGGTGATATTAAAGGGAAGGTTTTTCTGCTAAATCTGCATCAACGTGCAGTCATACATGTCACAAACCCTTAACCTAAGTGACTTTGACTGTGCCTCACTACTTAAAACTCAGCATGTCAAGACCCACAGAGATACAGTGAGTGTTTAAAGGGGATGATGCCCTTAAAGCTGTGTGTGGGGGTAGCCTCTCGCCTCCTCTGCAGAGCTGTAAAGCCTAAATACTTTCCCCCTCAGCCCCCCTTAGATCTGCCTCCCCACTTTCTCTCTACCCCACTATGCTCACTATTATTAAAGCTACCATTTTGCTTCTACCTCCAGAGACAGGCTCATAAGTCCCCCTAAAAGCTTATTGCACCGTACTCGAAACAGCTATTGTAAAACGTGCTTCCCATATTTGAAATGGGCCGTAGTAATACCTGCGAATTGAACATATTTTCCAATAGTGCGGGAATGTCCCAGTGGAAATTAGGCCAGATTGCCTTCTTGCCCGAGTGGACTTGCATCAAAATAAATATTGGAGAGCTGGGTGTGCTCAAAGCAAACCTGGATTTGTCGTTATTTCTTTTGAGTTTAAAAAAAAACAAAAAACACTGTTGATATTTCTTGTACAGCCAAGTCTCACTGACATAAAAGACATCAATCCTCCGTCTGTTTTCATGCAAACACAGTAACTATGAAACCGCATGACGACTTCTCGCCTGAGGAAACATCTGCTTTTATCATAACCTCTGCAAAACTAAATATGTGAGGATCCATTTATAACATATTTAAAGGTCCCCTATTACACTGTTTTTCATCAATATATCATAGTTCTCAGATATATACAAAACATGTCTCTGAAGTGTTTAGCTCGAAATACCCAACATGCATTGCAGCATCCCATAATCCCCTCTGTTTCAGCCCTGTTTCAAAAGTGCTGATTCTCTGTCTGTTACTTTAGATGAAAATAAGGAGCCCCTCCCCACGCCCCTCTGAGAGAGATTTGGTTACAAAGAACACAATGGTGCTCTAGGAGGAGGTTCAGGTGATAAGGGGGGGGGGGGTTATCTTGGTTGCTGATTGGCTAATGGTTACACAAGCCAAAAAATCGTTATGACATCATAAAGTGGCCAAAATCTGATCAGCTCATTTTCAGACAGGTTTTTATAGAAATGGATCAGGACAAAAAGAGAGAGAATCTTTGTTCCTGAAACTTTCAGAATCTCTTAATGCAGAGGGGACACATGTTGACTTGTTCATGTTGACATGAACAAGTGGATTTTGCATAATAGGTGATGGTAAGGCCACACTGATCCTGTTTAATACCTGTCTTACTTATCAGACTGCTCCACGACTTCATCTGATTATAACGCTAAGAGTATTATCACACTGAATAAAGGAAACTTATTTGGATCTATGAACTCTTTGCAGAAGGTGGGACGAAGAAGCTTCGCAGCACCATCCGACGGAGCACAGAGACCGGCATCGCCGTGGAGATGAGGAACCGAGTGACTCGGCAAGGAAGCAAGGACTCGACCGACGGCAGCACCAACTCCAACAGCTCCGATGGAACGTGAGTATCTACCCATGGGGTTACAGATGGGGTCCAAAACTAGCAAGCCACATGAATGTCTGGGAGCAAATACATTTTATATGCTACACAAATACGGCCAGGATCCGGAATATTGGGTTGCAGATTAGAATCTTCAAAAGGGGGGTTCGTTTAGCATGAAACACTTGAAATAACGAAAGGATAAGTTTAGAAGAAAGTAGAAAGAAAGTGAGGTCAAAGAAAACTATTTCTGCTAAGAAGTGAGCAATGATTGAGAGTCAGACTTAAAGATTTCAGATGTGTGTATCTCACACTGCACTGTCACTTTAATGCATGTACCTTTGATATTCATGTTTTATTATTATCTTTGCTTTTAAATGAGTGTTTTTAAATGCCATTATATAATATGTTTCTTAATGCTCTTAATGTCTTTCATTGTTGCAAGGCACTTTGAATTGCCTTGTGTTGAAAGGTGCTATATAAATAAACTTGCCTTACCCGGCAACTCCTCATGGCACACACGGCATACATATATTCATCATAACTCGTTGCTCTCTCTCAGGTTTGTCTTCCCTACAACACGCCTGGGCCCTGAGAGCCAGTTCAGTGACTTCCTGGATGGACTCGGCCCCGCTCAGATCGTAGGCCGGCAAACGTTAGCTACACCCCCCATGGGTAAGACAAGAAAGATCGATAACGGTGTCTCATTCTCATCTAGTATCGTTTGATTCTTTCTGAGATCTCATGAGATGCTTTGCACTGGGATTCATTCTTTTAACCAATGGAAATTAGACAGTTATAGGTTAATAAAGTTGTGAGACAAGAGTACATTTATGTTGGACTCTACTACGGCGGAGAATCAAATACAAATATCTCCCGCCCTACACCAGCATACTAACTGTTAAATGCACAGCAGCGTCTAAAAGTACTGCACAATACTAGTGTATTCAGCACGGAGGAAGTCATTCTTGCATGAGGTATGAATCTTTCATGCAAAAGGTCATTGCTTGTGAGAATCAACACAATTTGCTCATACCTGGCTGTTCAGGCGCGTTCACAGCTCTGTGTCGCCCTCTGCAGTTACATTCTGGCCATTGCAACCTTAGTGAGATTATGTTCTGGTTCTGATTATACAAGTTTCGGTAACACTTTATATTAAGGTACACATATTCACCATCATTTAGTTGTTAATTAACATGCATATTAGCAGTATATTGGCTGTTTATTAGTCATTATAAAATACTTATTAATGCCTTATTCTACATGACCATATTCTCCCAGTACTAGGCCATTAGTTAAGAGTTTTTCCTCAATAACCCTCTCATAAGTGCTCATTTATTGTAAGTAAGGAAGTTGTTGTACATGAGTTTTGTCCTTAACACAGGGGGTCCGCGGGATCTTGAAAAGTATTAAAAGTTGATAAATCAATTTAGCGAAAATGAAGGCTATTAAACGGTATTTTCCAAGGTATTACATTTTGTAGCTTGTTTTCAATAAGTCTATAAATGGTCCAAAGAGGTTGTATTCTACAGTCTGCCTGAATGTAATCATTGCGTAGGTGTGTAGTGTGATTCTGTGTAGTTTATTTATGGCATCCCGTTGGATCTGACGTCATCTGAACAGGACATCGCACGCTCACTGCTTGATAGCGCGAAGCTCCGTTTATGCCGGTTGTTAAATAACATCGTTATGGGGAAATGCAAGTCTGCGTCCAAATGGTTGGAAGATAAGGAGGAAGGACAATCAATACTGTATATAGGGAATGTGAGGTGAAGTGTGTCGCCAAGGTAACCGGTTAGAACTCAAAGTGGCGATGAGGTCTTAAAATGTATGGAAAGGATCTTAAAAAAGGTCTTAAAAGGTATTACATCTGACTTCAGGATTCCTGCATATACCCTGTAATATGCTCTGCTCAATATGGGCCTAATAAGGCAGCAGTACCACAAGAATATGAATTCTCCCATAATAAAACCAAACAAATATGATCAATTCTTATGTAACAAGAAATGAAACTACAAGTGTTACTTAACAAAAAAATAACAAAAAAACCTGTTGTTTCTAACTCAGAATATGTTCCCTATTTTAAAGTAAAGTCTTGTTCATAACAAATAAGCTAGTAGTTTGTCTCTAATATGTTAATAAACAACTAGTTGATGGTGAATAAGTGTACCTTAATATAAAGTGTTATCCAAGTTTCTATTGGGTTGTTATTGATGGTGTTTTTCCCTCCACAGGGGATGTCCATGTAGGCATGGTGGACAGAGGAGGGCAGCTGGAGGTGGAGGTCAACCAGGCCAGAAGGTTGACCCCTAAGTCGGGCTCCAAGAACACACCAGGTACTCACCTCACCCCCTGCATTCAAATGTATTGACTCCTTTGTCCGAGCTGTGTTCATGTGGGAGTTTCAATGTGTTGTGTTTCTCTGCTGCAGCTACCTACGTGAAGGTGTATCTGCTGGAGAACGGCATGTGCTTGGCCAAAAAGAAAACCAAAGTAGTGAAGAAGAATCTGGACCCCACCTACCAGCAGGCTCTGTTGTTTGATGAGAGTCCTCAGGGCAAAGTCCTACAAGTATGTGACTTCTTTCATTCCCTTCCTTGTTTTTTTAACTCTCGTGAATCCCTCTGTGGTTTCAAATATTATTGGGTTTTAGTATGTTTTCTATCCTCATTTAGTGTAAAATGTCCTAATGCACAGTCTTGCCATGTTCCTCATTACATTTGTATTTTCTCTGCCTGAAAAAGGAATAATGTGTAAGTTTCAAATGACAGGAATCAGGACATGTTATATTTGGTGTATTCAGAAGAAAACAATGTTATACTTTACAGAAAGATACATTTGGAGGTGTGTCGTAAAATATCTTACCATATTATTTATTAAGAATGTATAACTTAAAAAAATATGTGTAGTCGTGGCGCAGTCTTCTCCTTCTTGTGGGAGACTGAAATCTTAGTTACATTACATGTTACTTGTTAGACGCTTTTATCCAAAGCGACTTACGTACTCAATACTGTGGGCAATCCCCACAGGAGCAATTTGGGGTGAAGTGTCTCAGGGACACAACGACATGCTGACTGCAGTGGGGTTTGAACCTGTGACCCCCTGATCCGAACACCCTTCCACTAATCCACTACGCCACACGCCTCCTTAGTCTATGTATAACTTATTCTCACCTCTCCTCAAGGTAATCGTGTGGGGGGATTACGGGCGTATGGACCACAAGTGCTTCATGGGAATGGCCCAGATCCTTCTGGAGGACCTGGACCTGTCTGCCACGGTCAGCGGCTGGTACAAGCTGTTCCCTACCTCCTCTCTGGCAGACCCCAGCATCGGACCGCTCACCAGACGCCTCTCTCAGTCCAGCCTGGAGAGCGCCACCAGCCCCTCGTGCACCTAGACCCCCAGCAGACCCCCAGCATACCCCCAGCAGAACCCCACATGCACGGGCACAGAGTCATGCAGACACGGACACGCGTACTGTAAATACACAACGACTGTATTCCAAGTGCAAGACAGGTAGACACACACACACACACACATATATATATATATATATATATATATACCCATGTGCATCTGTGCAGGAACACACATATAGGTGCAAATACCTGATCGCCATATCCTTCAGTACGTCCATAATCTCACACACACACTGATCAGTATTTTAGTTGAGCAAATCTAACTTGAAGTAGACTTCATTTACCAGAACATGTAGCATTTCCCACCGTTCCCATTATCAACCTTTCCTACCATGACTCAGCAATTCTGCATTCCCAGATTTCATCCCAGGCCCATCCCAATGCCAGTTTCTAAACTCTCTATGCCAAACTAAGGGAAAAAAACACTTTATTTTTTAAAAACCAAAGCAATTGTAATGTTGTTATGATAACTATAAGTCGTAGGTGAAATAGTATATAATATAAAGTATGGAAATGTAGCAGAGTCGATGACTTAGATGTAATGCAAAAAAACACACACATTCTACACACACGAGCTGGGAGCGGCGGGCCACACACACACACCTGGGCAACAGGCTTGGATATTCACATAATGGCTATTATGTGAGGTAGCAACACTGCTATTCTATAATTTTCACACGGCAGAGTTTATATATAGATATAAATATATCATATATATATAAATAGATAGTTATATACTTACTTGTGTTTATGTATGTATGGGCTGCATTCTGCATGTTTGCTTGCAACCTTTTGTAGAGACATTTTAAAGTGCTTCAATATGTTTGATTTTGCTTGCTTCGGCCAATGTAACAGGAGCTGCTTTATTTTGCAATCCGTCCGGAGGAAAAAGCACCGAGTTAGTGAGGAGGGTGGTGATGAGGGGGGGGGGGGGGGGGGGGGGGGGGCGTCGTCACAATCTGCAGGAGAAGAGAACAAATGATTCAGCCAGCTACTCATTAGCTGATGAACAATATGTATGATCCTGCCTTCATCTTTAGAAAGGACTGTTGTACAGCACAAGGCATTCTGGGAAATGTGTCCAGCTCCAGTTTGGGGTTTCTTGTGTTCCACATCCAGGGGGTGCCACTCTCTCTGTATACCAGCAGCCAGACTGTCTGAACTTCCTGTTGATTTCCCCCTTCTGATGTTCCTAATTGATAAGGAGAAGGTGGTGAGCACACACAGCTGGTAACAACAAACCCTTCCTCTCTTCGGTACACACACTCTGTCTCACTACATGTTTCTAAACCTGTTGTGAATGTGTGAACACTTATTGGATCTTCTTTTCGATATCTGACTGTTTATGCCAGAGTTACTTTTCTAAGCAGGTTGATTGTTCACCTGCCATGTGCGCCAGTTTCAGATGTCACTCTTCATATTTCCAGTTTAAGATGGTTCTTTACTGTAATATTATGTTTGATTTACATGCAGTGGTTGACCACCTGTTTATTTATTTTATTTGATCAAACTCCAGTGTACATCTTTGAATCGATTAATTGAATGCCAGCATGGGCATGTAACAGGTCAGTTTCCCACAGATTTTTGACTTAAAGGTCCCATGTCATGGCCATTTCTACTGATCATAATTCCATTGTTGAGGTCTACTAGAATAGATTTAAATTGTGCAATGTTCTAAACTCACATTGGTTTCTCATACAGCATCTCTGTATAGTATGTGTATTCACTCTCTGTCCTAAACGGCTTGTTGGAGCTCCTGCCCCCCCCCCCCCCCTGTGAGCCCAGTGGCCGTCTGCGAGACACAGCCCGAAAGAAAAAGTGAAATCTCCAACGAGGCGTTCTGGGGCAGCATAGACAAGTCTTTTCTGTGTTAGAGTTTTACTCGCTACAGGGTGTACTTTGAGGGTGACCGTTTACATGCAGGAAAAGCTACATAACACACAAGGGGACGGGTAATAACCAGAAAAGCATGACATGGGACCTTTAAATCTGAACAAAAGAATAATGTTTTCTTGATCAACATTGGATTGCTCAAAAGCATTTTTATTTTGTCCGTAGGTAAACTTAAGGGTGTTTCACAAGCCAACTTTTAATACGTTTTAATGATACTAAAGGAAAATCATTTTATATTTGGCACGTGAAACCGAACCGGGCTAATAGAAAATAAACCAAGAGTATCAATCCGCTCTGATTTTGGAATAGCCAAAAGCTCTCTAAAGGGAGAAAGACAGGTCCCAAACACATCTAACAATTTGCTTTTGCATTTGTTTATTAGATATATTTAAAATGACCAAAAAGGACCAATGCCACTTTGTTCTAGTGAACTTTCTTTATAAAAAAAATAGAAGTACAAGTCTGACCTGGTTCAGTTAAGATGTACAATAGTTGAGTCTTCATTGAGGAGTAGCAGGTTCAAAAGGTGTTTACTGTAACATGTCATCATTCCCTTCAGTGTTTCTTCAATCTGTCTGTTTCAGGACCAACTCGGATAGGTTTTTAAGAAGTGTTAAGAGAGATAATAGTCCCAGTTTACAGGCTACTAAAAGCTTGTGCGTGTTTACAATCTCACATTTAGTTTTATCACCACCATATGTTCTATCAGCTGCGAAGAACTGCTCACTCCTCTCTTCCTGCAAAAAGGGAGACTCAGCGCTCACTGAACTTTGGATAAAGGGAACTCTGGCAATCTTGAATTTTTCTTCTGGAGGAGGATGAAATTAAATCTGACCCTCCCTTCATGTACACAAAGGGAGTTTTTTTGTAACCTTTTGCAGCTAGTCCGTGCTGGAGCTGTTACTGTATGTGTAGTAATTGATTTAATGTACCTTTTTTTTAATTTGTATCTATTTATTTTTTCTTAACGACTGTCATGATGTCAAAATGAGGATTATACTCTTGGTATTTGCACACATTTTCTTCAGTGTGAACAAAACAGCTTTGTTTGTGAGATGGAAAATACATGGAAAGAATATTTAAAAAGACATTTATAGACCTGTATAACTTTCCTAAACGTTAAGTAATTGGTGAACTCCTTAAAAATGTTTATTTCCCCATGTGATTCTTAATCTTAAAGGATAACTTATATTTCCCTTTGCTGTTTACTGAGTAGCCCTGAACATAAGCAGTTATTATGAGAGTAAAAGTAAAGTAAGAGACAATGCATTAGGAAGTTGAATTATCCTTTTAGGAGAGTTTTAACGGAGAGCATTGGGTTAGGGTTAGGGTTAGGGTTAGGGTTAACCCACATCTTTTGATTCCTGTAACCAAAGGGAAATGTTTCATACTGCCTTTCTTCAAAGTGTAGTTTGGGTGTGTGTCTTTCAATGCATTTACTGTATTGCGTGATGCTTCATAATGAGCATGTGACGGAGAGATTTAAATGTGTAAATATTTATTAAAAAGCCCCTTGTTAACTCAAGTCGTGGACAACAGTGAGGAGAAGATAAGGATCAGGGTTTTCACATATGACCATTAACACTTAGATTAGAGCTAGTATCACATGATTAAAATGCATCGTCTCATCACGTTTGACTTATGTTGACAACTGTTTTAAGTGAGTTTAAAAAGGGTTGCCTAAAGAGGGTTCACTATGGCAGGGCAGAGTATTAGCAGGTCGTAAGAGAGTATTCGACTTCTGTAAATGTGAATGCAGGCGAGTTGCAATATTGATGGAATGATCAAAGTGTCCATTAAAGACTATAGCGGTTTATTGGAAACAGCGTGGAGCATGTAGAGCTCGATAACGCTGTGTTTCAGATACAGGTAAAGATAGTATTAGCTCGATTTAGACCTTATCTAGCTCATCTAGGGTTTGAATGTAAAGATTGTAATGTACACCCATGATACGCTTGCTTTTTCCCCCTGTAAACCCCACAACTTTTGTCTTGTGCAAAACTTTTCTAATGTATCTTCAATCAACCTGAATTGTCTCTTGAGTGCAATGTTTGGAAATGTATTTTATTTTTGTAAGGAGAGCGTTATTATTCAGAAGAGGAGAGAGAGTCAGAGAGGCACAAACCTGCTTTTCGCGAAAATGAGGGCTTGTTCGGTTTACAATGGCCTTATTTTGTGTAGGAGACATTGCTTCACTATTGTAGCACACAACTGAACGTTTTGACAAATGTATTTTGCTTGAAATATTCTACCGAAGTTATATATGTGTATATGTATAGTTTTATGAATGTATTTCTTAATCCTTACACCAGAACTGAGTGTACTTTGTTGTCATCTTGTTGGCTATACTGTCTCTTTGAGGACTTTCCAGGGATCTCGCCTGCATTGTTTCAGGCTGCCCCTTCTACTGTATACTGTATGTCCTTTTCTTTGTGTGTTCACTTTAAAAGAACAGCTCTGTGGTTGAAACAAGCATGAATTCTACGTGGCGAAAACGCACTTTTGATGTATTTAAAATGCCACGATGGGTTTAAAACAGAAAAGATTGCTATTCCCCTTGTAACTGAAACTCGATTTATCTATCAAGCTGATTGAGTTATCATTTCTGTGCTTTGAACTTGAAAATGTTTGCTGCATGATTAACACTTTTCCTGTATTTAATCTTTATGATGGTCTGATTACGATGAAAATAACTATGATAATGACACATGTTGAGGAAGTCAATTAGACCCAGTACGATGTTAATTCATTGAGATGCAAAAAGAAAATGCTGTATCTTCAAGTAGCATGGTGTTAGCTTTCCACTTTCTGAAATACTTCTTGCAATAACCATTTGGCTGTAGCCTTTTGTCACTCATTAGAGTAAGGTTGTGGGAACCTCAGGCCAAATTTGTATCAGCTCACAACCATAACAAATATTATTTTTAAGTCAGATCACAATTTCAAGCACTAGAAGCAATGTAGACTCAGCAGAGCATGCGTCGCATTGTGAATAACTTTCTGAAAGCCGCCATGAGCAACAAATTCTTTTTTTTAAATTTCCTTTCCTTTCCTAATGAAGCATGCATTCCAAATATCTGTTTACAGATGTAGCAACGGTCAACAAGACATTACTGCTGAGCTGATGGGCAAATGGGTTTGTCTTCATCCACGTCTATAAATGTTGTTGATCACAGCACAAGTCTCCTTAGTAGCCATCCTGTCCTTTTTTAGATATTTGTCAAACTATATTAAGACCACTGTAGCTCCCCTCGCCAGTATTAAGACAACCTTCATCTTAAAGCCCAGCAAAGCACATTTTGAACTTCCAAAACGTAGGGAACAGCTTTGAAGAGCGTTGACTTTAATGGAGCACATATTGTAAAGATGCCTAGAACACAAATCTGAAGCTGCAGGAAAACATTCAGCACAGTTCAAATTGGATTGCGGGTGATGCTGGATGATTGGTTGTCTTTTCTAAACCGGCCTTAACCTTTTCACCGAGGAGTGTTCACAGAGTACATTTTAAAGGGCAACGCATAGCTGACCGTCTATTGAAAGGATGCTTATGAAGAGGAAAAAGGGAGCTGTAATTTTATACCTGTGCTTTGTAAATGTTTTCTATGTGCAGTATTTGATAATGTAAAACTGGTATTTTTGTGGTTTGTACGCTGCAGAATTGATTACTTAAGGTGCACGTAGTTTTGTAAGAAAATAGAATCAAACGGAGAACAAAAAAAAACTATTTCTGAATCAGAAGCCTGTATTTGCATGCCCTTTGACATCTGGACGCAAGGTCAATAAAGTTTATTTGAATCACACATATTTGTCAGCTGTGTATTTTAAGATATTCTGATTAAATAATGTGTTAAATGTATTTTTTTATTAATCTGCCTCATTTCATACATTAACCTTAAAACAATTGGGTCAAACTGAACATCTTTGAAATCTCAACAATATATACAATTGAATCAAAACAATATTTATTTTTAATATTTTCACAGAGACAAGTATCACATATTCTCAAATGAAAGTGACTATCAAATCAAAAAGGGGCAAAGCATGTGGAACAAATGCAGAACTAATATACATCACGTTTATCAATCGTGTTACTTATTATACAGAGACATTCTGATAAAGAATAAACTACACAATATCTTGATTAACAAGTACATCAAAAGATACATTCCTTTTATTTGCTTTTATTTCACAGAAAATATACCAGACAAAAGAAGGAACTGAAGCATACTAAGCCGGTAGCCCACAGGAATGTATTTTTACTGCTTTTTAAGAAGCTTCTCTGACAGATATGCTGTAACATGGCAGATATTGCTCTGAGCAGAGAAAGTGACTGCTGCTCTCACACTGTTGCCTCGACTGCCACCAAATGAGATACAATTGAAAGAAATGCTCGAGGGAATAGACAAAATTCTGAGTTTTTTTAAAGGCTGTACTGCTTTTTTTAGTGGCAGCACTTAATTGTAATCTTGTTACACAAGAGTATATTCATTTAATTCTCTTTAAGCTCTCACATTAGAAGCATTTCTGTGCTTCTACATGACAAAACAGAAAGACATTATTTACACTAATGGCTTCATGCAAGGGTTATTATAAGAATGAACAAAACAGCAAGGACATAGAGATGGCTTAGAAGTGAGTGGTCGTACTATCACTTTTCGCTTCACACTCCCTCGAGTGACCTGATAATGTGTCAGCCTGGTCACAGTTGGATCCTAATTGGACGGCAGGACATTAAACCTTGGTTGGAATTCAACAATTCACCAAAAACAGACAGGACGCTGTTGACCACAGGACATTCAGAAGACACAAGTGTACATTGGTTGACAGTAGAATATCAAAAACAAACACACGCCAGTATTACTGAGGTGTGTATTCAAAATTAGTCAAGTACATTGTGACACATTCAAGACGCGCAGTCGTTTAATCATTTTGTTGGTCTTGGTCGAAGCGGATCAACATGTAGAGAGAAACATTCAGAGAGACACATTCAGATATTTTGAAAAACATACAATCAGAGTTAGATAAACATTGTCCTCATGCAATTCAGTGGAAGAATCTGAAACATGATCTGTACCTTGGTCGTCTTTTGTCTCTGTCCTTCACCTCCTTCTCTCTTATATAACAACAACTTTTGAGGCCTCTATTGTACAAGGTAGATTAACTTGAGGTGTGTGAGTGTTATTTCAACATGTACATGCATGCAAGTGACTTTTTAAGTGTCCCACCCTGTCTGAGGAAATAGCACAGTGAATTGATATGCCCAGATATTCATTGATTAAGAGCAGGTTTGACCAGACTGTTAAAGGATTGCTGACTTAAATGTTCTACTTATCATTAGTTATGTGGCTACAGATGTAACAAAGCATTGCAATACTGTACAACCATAATAAAGCTAGCGTTGATCTTTGGTCTCCCAAAATCCAGTTTAGGACTTTAGACAATGAAGTCGAGTTTCAGTATGTGTTCTCAAAGAAGCCCTCTGTAAATAGAGTAGAAGAGATCATAATAATGGCGTTAGGTTTTGTAGCTGCTATAACTTGTGAGACAAAGGATCTAAAAACCTAAACGATTTTCCTAAATTTGATTATTGTAGGACGACTTGATTGTTTAGGAAGGGGATACAATGTTTTTTGAAAGATTTGAAAAATGTATTTCTTCCTTCGCAAAGCCAAGCTAATTCATTAATGTTTATTTACCCCTCCACGTGCAGCTTGAGGGGTGATAAAATAATAGATTAGCATAGCCTAACCTAGCTTGATTATGTTCTAGTAAGAATCTACTTTTAATCCCTTTGTTACCTTACTTTGAAAATCTTTACCCCTGTGCGCTTGGAAATGGTTGCGGCTAAAGTTAAGCTAATTGTTGGATTCTGATGTGAATTATTTGTTAATACAACGTTAAAACAATAGTTCGACATTTTGGTTTGACATTACCTGAATGCTTATCCTTGCCAAAATGTAGCTTAGAAAATCAATACCATGGTATTTATGAAGCTAACCACAGCAGTCAATTAGCTTAACACCAAGACTGGAAATGTGTCTATTCTCTGTCTATTAAAAGGTAGAACAATCTGCCTAACAGTACATATAAAGCTCACTGTTAAACATATTATATCTCATTTAATTAATGCTTACAAAGTTAAAGTCTTTAGATAAAGCCATGCTTGTTGTTTCCCCTGTCTCTAGTCTTTAGGCTAAGCTAAAACAAGCTAACCAGCTGCTGGGGGTAGCTTCATATTCGTCTCACTCACAGCAAAAAGAGGCAATTAGGCTCATTCCCATGAAAGCAAACTATTTACCAAATGAAACAAAATATTAGCCTTCACTTTTAGTCTTGAAATAATGTATGTCTCCATCCTTTAAGGGAAATGTGTCTTCTTACAAAATAACCTCAATATTCAAGCACATCAACCAATGGATTTAAGCTAGGTACGTTTTGCATTTTCTTCTGATTATGATCAATTGTAAAATAAATCAAATCTGTTCTTTTAAGTCGTGCAGTTGGTTAACACCCACACATAGCTGATGTGTACAACGCTGGCACATAGCCTACAGGCTACAAACAACGATGTGTAGTCCTAACCAGTTAACCTTGAACCCTGTTGTCTTGGACATCATGCCAAAGTGTTCTGAAGGCAAGAATGGGAATATGCAAAACATGGCCATGGATGGAAGAGAGAATAGGAAGCCTGGGCAGAGAGGAGAGAGAAAGAGGTAGTTGTGGTTTTCGAAACCTTCAGCTATTTCACACCTTTCTCCTTCTCCTCCTACTTCATCTTCTTCTTCTTCCCCCTTTCATTCGAAAATGTCTCCTGGAGAGTGATTGAAAGGTTCGTACAACTCAGTCCCCCTCTTTTCCCAGGGTTATTGGCATGACATCACATATTTGATAGATGAGATCATTTCCAAACATGCGCCGTCATGTGCGCTGAGCTTTGAGTTGTCGAGCCCCGCATTTGTTGACTGCTGTATCCTATCTTGCCACTGGTGTTGCTGACATTCACACCGGCCATATGCTGAGTCATCTATAAACCACAAAACACATGTTGTTATTAACAGAACATTTGCTACCTTGAAATTAATTTAGTACAAAGCAAATACACACACACACACACACACACACACACACACACCTGGGTAATGTTCCACTGTAGCTGCTGAGTTTGTTGCCCTCCGTACACCTGCTGTTGAGGTAAACCTCCAACCTGCTGCTGTCCCATCAGCCCATTCTGTTGATGTCCCATCATCCCATTCTGCTGCTGCTGTCCCATCATCCCATTCTGTTGATGTCCCATCATCCCATTCTGCGGCTGCTGTCCCATCATCCTATTCTGCGGCTGCTGTCCCATCAGCCCATTCTGTTGATGTCCCATCATCCCATTCTGCGGCTGCTGTCCCATCATCCCATTTTGTTGATGTATCACCATTGCGCTTTGCTGTCCCATCATACCCTGGGTCATCCCTGTCATATAAGGTGTGCCACTAGGCTGTGCCATGACACCCTGAGCACCCATTGGGCCATTCGGCTGTCCCATCATGGCCATCTGTGATGTCATCATGGGGCCTCCCATTCCACCTGCCTGGGCTAAAGAGTGGTACGATCCATATGGATGTGTCGGGTATCCTATTTGGTTCATGTACAAGCCTGCTGACAGTTATCACAGAGAGAAAGCGGCCATTTTAGCATTGGTAAGCACTCTATAATCGGAATTCTCTAATCCCTTTGATATCAAATGAACACTAAGGAGACAACAACAACTAAGAGAAAGTTTTCCAGTTCTTACCATGAGCAGACATACTGGCGTGTACTGATGGGGCGGAGGCGTACAGGGAGAGAATCGAGTCCTTGGACAGTTTCTTGACAGCGCCCCCCTCTGCTTTTTGTGTCCGATCCAGGAACAGACTGAGGTTTTCAGGCACAGAGGCAGTCACTCTACTCTGGGGCATAGAGCTGGAAACAGGCTGGAGAGGACAGGGGTGGCGGGAATAGAGAGACAGAGAGGATACATGTATCATCAACAGTACAAGGGTGCAATAACCACGGTGTTTCTGTGCAAATATTATCTCGCAAACCACTCAAACTGAGAACATGTCTAGTCTAGAAAGTGTGCCTTTCTATTGTAGCCTTTTACAAAAAAGAAATGCCACCAAAGAAGCGTAGGAATTAGAAAAGGGTTAAGACGGTTTCCTCCAAAAAGAAGCAAGTCCACCTCAAAGCTATAGGTACATCTATATATGTATGTATATTCAGGGTTGGGAGGGTTACTTTGTAAATGTAATCAGTTACTGATTACTGATTACATGGCTCTGAAAGTAATCCGAATACAGTTACAGTTACGTGTCTTAAAAAAGTAACGTAATCAGATTACTTTTAGATTACTTTTGGATTACTTTCTTTTTCCATCACAGATGGGTATGTTTTGGTGTACAGGAGACACAAAAAGCAAAAGGAATGTGTTTTTACTGTTTTAATGGCTTATCAAGAGCACAACTGAAACACAACATCTGAAACGATGTAACAACATAATTAACTTTTTGGGGATGCAGTTTGGGATGTGAGGAGTGAGGGACACGGCTTATAACGAGCGTGTCGCCTTCTGTCCTGCCAGTGTTGGCAGGACATGAATTAAAATGTCAAACTCGGACTTCATTTTAAGGACATTACGGCCAGGGGTGTAGTCGAGCTATATTTGTTTAACCACCAGATTGGCAAAACAGGAGAGTGTGTGCACCAGTCTGCCTTGATCTATGAATTCATGTCCGTGACTCTCACAGTATCTGCTGCCCGCAGCTGTTTTATAGAAGGAACACCTTCTTCACTTCATGAAATCTCTGCAGCACCAGGAGGCAGCGGGAGGGTTAACTCAGCCTCTGAGAAGACGAGCACGCAGTGCCTTTCACGCACCGCCTTCACTGTGTTTACCTTCAGAAATAATCATTAGTAAGGCTAAAGAAAGAGCGACCGCAGGCTGATGTGTTTTAACCACACACACACCCGATTTAAACGCAGACTTGTGTTCCTCCATGTTTCGCTGTTATTGTTTCACTGAGCGGACCCGCGATTTTTTTTCAAACGCTTTTTTGGTCCATCTGCGGCGGTAAAAGGTTTTGTGGGCTGTGATGATTCGGCTGTACCTTTAGTAATGAATATTACATGTTGTGAGGAAATCTTTCCACCAATAATTCCAATAAGTAATCCAAAATGTATTCACTTCAGGTTTACGAAAGTAACTGTAATCAGATTACTCGTTTTTCAAATGTAACGCGAGCTGAATACAGTTACTTGATTTTTGTATTCTGTTTACGTAACGCCGTTACATGTATTCCGTTACAACCCAACCCTGTGTATATTTATACCATACATGTTAAAGAAGTGTCATTTCTCTCTGTCATGGAGTGGGAGGGTGCATTGGCAAGATTATATTTAGGCCTAAAAGTCCATATTCACGCTATCGGCTCTATAAGGCCAAGGGCTCACAACGAAAATGCTAACATCAATGTTTAGCAGCTATGTTCACTTAGTTCAGCATGCTTTTGGGACCATGAATATCTGTACAAAATGTTATGGCATCCATCCAAGAGTAATGGACATTTTTCAGTGTGGACCAATTGCCGTCCCTAGAGGCCCGCTGATAGCAGAAACATTAGGGATTCTGTGAATAGCCCCCTGTGATGTATTTGCAGTGTGTTACCGTGTTTCTTTTAGAGGAAGCAGTGGCCGGTGCTGACAGAGAGCTGAAGAGATCCAGAGCAGAGTGTGCCAGAGCCGGATTGGACACCGCTGGCCTCCCATTACTGTCTGAAACACATCCTCCTCCGTTAGACACTGCAGGACTTGGAGCAGGGGCATCTAAGAAAGGATAGATGGTAGATAGTCTGATTATAAGAGATTATTATCTATGTCTATCTCTTTCTCTTGCTGTAAATGGGTGTTAGTGTGTGCATATGTTTGAGCTGCATTACCTAATCCAAGCAGGTCTGTGACAGCCTGGGTATTTGTCTTGGGGCTGACGTCTTTTTTCTGTCACAACAGAGAAAGCCGATGCAAGTAATGCAATATGTCTGCATGGAAAAAATGAGCTTGAATCAAGAGTCCTTGGTGGTGAAATGACCTTCCTGCTATCGTCTGACCAGCAAAGTTACTCCCAATCTCCCTCTACTGGCTGAAGATTGTTATCCTCATGATGTGCTTCCTGTCGTGGCACCTTCTCCTAACACACTAACATGCTCTTTACTTTTTCTTTAGCACCTAATCTTCCTCTAGGTAAGAATGGAGAAACCAGCTCGAGTAAGCTCGAATTTGAAAGTACACAACCCTTCCTTCAGACTTCCTCACAGAGCCCCTCCTCCAACACACACGAACGCGCACATGACCAATGAGGGCACGAGATGGAAGGCTGACAGGCAGGTATAATAATTGGACTTGATTTTTACAGCGCCACGGCTTCCACAGATGAAATATTTGTATATATTTATTGTCAAAGCATTTAATTTATTCATTGCTATCGGGAATATAACAAAAAGTGTTTCTGAAGTGAATGACCTACCCTACCTTTAATGTTACAAATCTAACAACATAGGGACAACATCAGTTCTCTATCAATGCTGCACTCACCAATTTCATCTTCTCAAACACAACTGGTTCCTTGGGTATATTGTCGCAGCTCTTTTCTTTCTGTACACAGAAACAAATGGTTTTGTTTAGCAAACAGACACTAAAGGTGAAATGGCCTTGCTCAAGAGGGGGTAGATGATGAGGGAAGAGACAAAAGAAGGAATGTAATTCAGGCCTTTTGTAATGATCCTGTCGAAGGCACAGAGCCTTGTTTGTGTGTGTGTGTTAGGACTCACCCTAAGCATCTGGATGTCAATGACTTTATCGATGTACTTCTTCTTTTCATACTTGTCTCTAATAAACATCTCTGCTAAATGGTCTGTCTCGGGGCGCTGGAAGCACTCAGGTAAGAAAGCTTCGTAGAGACGTCTGGCTTTGGCATTTCCCATCTCCTGAACACACTGATGACACCAAATCACAGAAAACATGTTAACATTGTTAATCTCTCTCTGATATAGGCAGAGTCCAGTGTATAAAACAAAGGGAGTTCATATTGTGGATCATGAGACTATAGAAAAACGTCCACAAAAGGGAGATTAATGCTGACTGTCTGGCCCATCAGACCCAGACAAGATGAGCTGCATACTGATGAGAAAGTACTTCCTCTCCTGTATGTGAGCATGCAACATTTAAAAAGCCCCGACAGACACAGCTAAAGCCACCAGAAATGTTTGTTTACTCTGTCGAAAAGAGGAATATATGAATCTCAATATGGATAAAATAACCAGATCCACTGACCAGGCTTTCCGTACACAACAACTATACAACTATAGCAGCTTTCCTGTTTGGGCATTTTACGAAAAGCACTGTCCCAAGCATAGTCTAAAGCATTAGTTTGTATTGTACCTCATCCATAAGTAAAAGCACGTACAATGTCTATCCAAAGCTGGTATATGCTGTGGTCTTATGTTTAACCTGTAATGTCCCTTACTAAATAAATATGTACATGTATCGATCCATTAATGATTGACACATCCCTGATTTATCCAAGATTTTTCCACCTTTTCTACAAGAGCACACTACTTTCAAACTACATGAATCTACCCACGTATCGGTGAGTACGCTATCATTGAGGGATGTAATCAATACATGTGAAATAAGCTTATATTTGACTTTAAAGTTCTGCTTATCGGCGCCTCTAAAGCTAACCAATTAACACATTGTATCCTATTTACTTGAAGCATCTATAATTGTAACGTAAAGGCTTACATTACAGGTAAAGTAAGGTACGTTTATTCATATAGCACATTTTCAGACACAGAGGCAATTCAAAGTGCTTCATCATTAACACTTAATAAGAAGACAACAGAAAGGAATACAATACATAAATATAATGGAATAACAGATTCATAAAAACCATGCATAAAAGAGATACAGAATAGTTTAAAAACAACATTGTAAATACGGTAGGTGCTAAAACAAGTTAAAAGGCTTCTGGGTAAGCAGCTGAAAAAAGTCATGTTTGTCAGACATTAACATATCTTCTCTATTTATTCGTATCTGTAGTGTGACCTCTGACCTGGACCTGCTCCTGTGTCCATTGGTCCAGATTGACCGACTTGACCTTGGAGATGTGGACCCCCAGGTTTCGATGGATACCAGCACAGCGGATACAGATGAAGATGCCCAAATTCCAGGATGACCATCTTGGACCTGGCAGAGAGAGTGAGGTAATGTTTAATATTTAGAGAAAACAGTCTTTAGAGGAGGCTAAAAAAAGTAATTGGGCGGCAGAACAAGAACTAACAAGAGAGATGAAGATGTAGAATCAGTCTAGAAGTACAACAGACAGCTAGAGTAAGCAGGCGAGAGGATTGGATGCAGGATGATGAGAAACACTCTGATTAATTTAAGTCCAATTATAGAGAGACAAGCCTGAAATTCAATAATTAGTTTGAATTCAGCTGGGAATCGGCTAATCCAGTGTAAGTCATGCAGTGACACATAATGCGATCCAATAGGAGAGTTAGCCTACATAACTGAGACTGAGAGGGAATAGAACGGCGCGCACACACACACACACACACACACACACACACACACACACACACACACACACACACACACACACACACACACACACACACACACACACACACACACACACACACACACACACACACACACACACACACACCACCACACACCACACAAATACATGTATACATCACTTCAGGGGACATTAAATTGACTTACATGCATTCCCTGGAGACTTATCCTAACCTTAACCATAACCAACACATGCCTAACCCTAACCCTAACCCTTACCCCAACCCTAATCCTAAACCTAACCAAGTCTTCACCCTAAAATTAATGATTCCCCTCATGGGGACCTCCAATTTGTCCCCATAAGGGAGACGAGTCCCCACACGTGACTGTGTAAACAGATTTAGGTCCCCACAAGTATAGTAATGCTAGGCCACACACACACACACACACACACACACACACACACACACACACACACACACACACACACACACACACACACACACACACACACACACACACACATACACATACACATACACATACACATACACATACACACACACACACTAGATACCTGCAGGGATGATTACTCATATGGTCATGAGTCTGTGTATGTGGGTGTGTGTCATATAAGTGGGCCATTTTGTCTATATTGCTGCCATTTCTGTCTTAACGGTTACATTTTAGTGCCCCTAGGTTTTTATAGGTTTCAAATATATCTTATGTTGTCTGTGCTTTGCTTTCCAGACCACTCCGAGAGGGGGGGAATACAAACAACACCGTCAGGCTATTTTCCTGCTGAAATTATGCAACCGTCCTCTTCTGAGAATACAGTCAGCTTCAAAGAGAATACTGCTGCTTCTCTCCCCGTCTCTCCTTACATCTCACTCTCCTCTTGCCCCCCCTCCTCTTCTCTTTCCTCCATCTCTTCCTGCTCCCCCTCCCTGGATGAACCCAGCCACCCTCTGCCTCATCTCTGTTATGAGTCCTTGCTTGCAACCTTGCTACAAGTTGGTGCACTGTGGCCTTTACACCACTAGATGGAAGAGCAGCTTGCAAGTTGGATCACTCATTGGCCTCTCCTGTCCGCCAAAGTCACCGTGCAGTGTTACGGAAAGGCCATTATATGCAAATGAAAGAGGAAGCTTCAGAAGAGAAAACATGCAAAACCTTCCTCTTAAAGACAGCTGCAGAAACACTGTATCTGGGTGCAAGTGAGTCAAATCATAGCTCCTTGTCTTGGCTGCATCCTGCACTTTAAAGGCTAAAAGGGTTATTCTGTTTGAAGCATTAGAAGGCTATCATAGGCCGTGTTCTGCATGTTTAAGTGTTTCTGGTTTGCAGAGCTTGCAGGCTACATTTTTTTTAAAATGAGTTAAAGGGAAGACATCAAGGGACAATAATGCAAACAAAAGTACAGAAAGCAAGCAATAACAGAGGGTCAGCAGACAGACAGAGGATGTCCATCAGCCTGAGCGTCTGGCTGCAGCATTAGCTCTGACGGCGGCTAATCACAGTAGCATTACTCTGCTCAGTCGCTGTCAACATTGGCACCGACAGAGAGAAAGAGTGAGATTTGCAATTGTGTTAAACTCCCTGTTGTGCTGGAATGAGTTTGTCTTTATTCTAATGCTCCGCTGTGTCCTGGCCACCATTTCTTATCTGTCTCATTCACAAACGCTGCCTCCCTCCTCCTCTCCCCTGCCTGTCCATATCTCTCGCTCACAGTCCAAATTCTCACTTTCTCAGACTTTCCCCACCCTCACTTTCTGGGGTTTTGACTGATTGCTGCCAATGTTTTTTGTTGCATTTTGTGGTAGCTTTTTTTTAAATCTCTTTTGAGCCAGGCAAGTGGCATGGCTCTAGTGCTGGCAAAGTTGGTCTAGTGCTTTTGTCCAGACTGAAGTATCTCAACAGCTATTGGATTTGGTTCAAATATCCATGGTGCCCAGAGGATGAATGCTATTGACTTGGATCACCCCCTTCCTTATCCTCTAGCACCATGAGTTGACATTTTGGGCTAATAGTGAAATAACTTGACAACTATTTGATGAACTGCCCTTAAATCTTGGCGAATCTGTTCATAGTTTGTAGACGATGTATCCAAGGGAACTTTTTGTTTCTCTAGTGCCACCATGAGATTGGCTGTCAAGTCCCATAAACAAATGCTAATGTGACATGAAATTACATATGGTCATATATTTTACTTTCCGAAACCTTGTGTGTCCATGTGTCCAGTGGTGTAAGCATCAATGTAATCTCCTAACAGGGTATTATGGATGTTTGGAGTCCTGGTGCTCAGGAGGGTGGCGACAAGGAACAGCGAGCAGGAGAGAGTTGAAGGCTAGTTTCTTTTAAAGGGAAACACACCTGCACACTGCACCATAGTTCCCTCTTTAGTTCTAATCAATGCAGTGCCTGAGTAAGAAGAACCCATATACAGCATATGTCCAGCATCAATGCACACCTACAGGTACTTTGAACAGACACAGAGAGTAGGAGGAATAGACTTCTAAAAAAAGGAAGGACAGATTGGATGTACAAATCAGATTCTCTACCATGTTGCAATGCACATTCCTCCACAGTTGAGTAAGAGCTGTGAGTAAACGTCCTCTCTTCTTTTGTAATCAAAAGAACACATGCCAACAAACACCTTCTTTTGAGGTATAATTAAACACTTCAGGTTTGACTTATACATCTTTCCACGGTTGTTATAGGGCAAACTCCAAAAGTAGAGGGTTTGAATAGCACATTGATGAATCATCCTGGCGAGTGTGGTTGTCAAACATGCAGCTTGAAGCACATCAGGGGAGGAGAAGGCAGAGGAGCCAAAAAGAGACAAACAAGAGGGGATTTTTATAGTCATCAAATGGTGGACGTTAGCTGTTTGATGGCCTGCTGGGACGAGCAGCGAGTGAGAGCAAACTGAGATCTATAATGAACCTCTCTGTCACTCACCCACACACATTTATCTGTATTTGTAACACTTGTGAGGACCTTTACTCACTACATCCATTTTGTATATAACCCTCCATTACACTTTAATCCATGATGTAACATTTGTATGGCCAGTGTAATTTAGAAGCCCGGCTCCGCATCTTAGAAAGTAACTCAGCTACAGTAAAGCCCATGTTAGCCGGTGCGGACCGGCAAAAGGTAGCTCCTCTTAACCGTCCCCCGGCAACTCCCGAGCAGCAGGGAGACTGGGTGACTGTTCAGAAGGGGCATAACGCGAAAACCCGCAGGTCCCCACCAACCCGTTCACGTATCTAACAGATATTCCCCACTCAGCGAGACACCCGCTGAGAAGCCAACTCTGGTTATTGGTAGCTCTATTATGAGACACGTGAATTTAGAGACCGAAGCCTCCACAGTCACATGCATTCCGGGGGCCAGAGCGGGCGACATTGAGGCGCATCTTAAACTGCTGGCTAAAAATAAACGTAAATACAGTAGGATTGTTATTCACGTCGGTGGTAATGATGTTCGTTTACGCCAATCAGAATGCACCAAACTTAATGTGGAGTCGGTGTGTAGTTATGCTAAAACAATGTCGGACACCGTAATCTTCTCTGGTCCCCTCCCCAATCTGATCAATGATGACATGTATAGCCGCATGTCATTATTTCAGCGCTGGTTGTCTTGGTGGTGCCCAGCAAACAATGTGGGCTTCGTAAATAATTGGACAGCCTTCTGGGGAAAACCTGGTCTGATTAAGAGAGACGGCATTCATTCTACTTTGGAAGGTGCAGATCTCATTTCGGCAAACATTTCAGGGCTTTGTGGACGTTATCCATGACAAACTGGAGTTGAGACCAGGAGGCGGAGTCGCAGTCTTACACGCTTCTCTGCGCTCTCTCCTAGGCAGTCATCCATAGGAATCTCGAACCCAATAAAATACCCAATATTAACGGTGTGTGTGTCTGCCCAAGGACAATTTAAGGTAAAACCTAATAGAGGTGTCATACATAATAACCTAATAAAAGTAAATGTAACAACTACTACAGTGCAACAAAACAGGAAGATTAAATGTGGTCTCTTAAGGCCCTGACACACCAGGCCGATTTCGGCTGTTTTCGTAAGTCGGAAGACGAAGCGTGTCCTGTCGCCCAAACTCAATTTGGTGTGTCCCGCACCGTCGACCGTGACCGTTCTGTTACTAACTGTATATCTGTAGACTTGGTATGTCTTAAATGTCCGGTTAGGATGTATTAGAACGAAATCTAAAATGAAAATTGTAAATAAGGAATCTGTATGTAAAAAACCACCTGTATGTAAATTGTAAATAAGCCATCTGTATGTCAAATATGTCTTATATGTCTTAAATGACATGATGAATTGGAAATGGGGGACCCTGATGTAAACAAGACGAAAGTCTTTCTCTGGTCTGCATCCCCTTAACAATTGTATGTTTTGAGCTGTACTGTACTGTACCCAATATACAAGCTGTTAATACACTTTTCAATCAATCAATCAATCAACACGCCTTATTTGGACTGCCAGACCAAACAATCACTCTGATTGGCTGTTCAGCTAGCGAATCAGTGCATGAGAAGCGAAACGGAAGTGAGGGACGTAAACAAACGATTTAAGAAGGCACACACAGACTGATATTCATTTTCATCTCATCATGGCGATCTGGAATGACGCAAACGAAGACC